AAAGATTTAAAAAAAAAAAATCCTAAATTGAAAAATGATTGATTCGAAAATAATATGATGCAGTCCTATTACGTCTGGGTCTCTGTGTTTCAATAAAGCTCGGCTCTGCGTGTGGAACGAGCCATTTTGTGTGCGCGAGCGAGCGAGAGAGAGAGAGAGAGAGAGAGCGAGAGAGCGAGAGAGAGAGAGAGCACACCGGTACCGGAGATCGTTGTTGTTAGCTTCTGGGTTAGCTACGCTAATGGATATAAGGAGTTTTTTCAACAACAAGCTGGAGGAGAGTCCTCCTCTCAGACTGAGAGACTCCGTGAGCTAAAGGACTCTGAGTGTTTAGATAGTTAACTTTAGTCTAAGTTATCTCAGTGGGTCTCAAACGTTTGGGTCACCATTAATGTAAACAATTATTTCCGAGGCACACGTTCATATGATCATTATAGTTAAAATAGCACTTTACCCCTGCTTACACCTATATGCCGTGAGCTGATCATCGAGCATTCATTGTAACAGTCGCGGGTACACTGTGTATATGCGTGGGGAGTGTTGCAGTAGAACATTCCTCTGTAGCGCCGGGACATTCATGGGAAACCCTAAATGTTTGAGCACCCTTTATGAAACGTCAAGCTACCCCACAGCACCCCCAAAATAAATCTCTGGCGGCGCCACTGAGCCTGACTATTTGTGTTGGGGGGGCCTAACTTTGTTTTTTCTCCAAAGGGGGGGCCTGACAGAAACAGTTTGAGAACCACTGCTCTAGCGAGAGGGTGTTCTCCACAGCAGGAGACTTTGTTAGTGCCAGCAGATCTGCCCTTTCAGCAAGCAATGTGGACAAGTTCATCTTTCTTTAAACAACAAGAAAACACAATGACAAGCAAGTCCTAATGTCAAACTGGCTGCTCAGGTACAGTAATAATAATAATAATAATAATAATAATAATAGATTTAATTTGTTAGCGCTTTTACAGGTGCTCAAAGACGCTTTACAGATATAGTGAAGAGAAAAGAAAAGGAAGGAACAACAAATAAATATATAGTTAAAGTTAAAGTCAAATAATACAAAAACAATCACACATTAAAAGCCAGATTGAAGAGGTGAGTTTTTGTGAGTGTTTTGAAGGTGGTGAGGTCAGTGCAGTCTCTGATGGGTTGGGGGAGTGAGTTCCAGAGGGAGGGGGCAGCGAGGGAGAAGGCTCTGTCCCCCCAGGTCCGGTGATTGGTGCGGGTGGGGATGGATAGGAGGTTGGCTTCTGATGAGCGGAGGCAGTGGGAAGGGGCGTGGTGGTGCAGCAGGTCTGTGAGGTAGGGGGGGGGCCTGATTGTTGAGGGCTTTGTGAGTAATCAGGAGGACTGTTGATTCTTTGACGGACGGGGAGCCAGTGGAGGTTCTGGAGGACGGGAGTGATGTGGTCTCGGGAGCGGGTGTGGGTGAGGAGGCGGGCAGCAGAGTTCTGGATATGTTGGAGTTTATTGATTAGGTTGGATGGTATGCCGCAGAGGATGCTATTGCAGTAGTCGAGTCGTGAAGTGATGAATGCATGAATCAGGGTCTCAGCAGCAGAGGAGGAGAGTGATGGACGGAGACGGGCAATGCTTTTGAGGCGGAAAAAGGCGGTCCTGGTGATGTGATTTATGTGGTGGTTGAATTTGAGCTGACTGTCGAAGATGACTCAGAGGTTGCGGATGTGAGGGGGGGGAGATAGAGTGTGGCTGTCAATGGTGAAGTTGAAATTCTGGATGTCTTTGATACGGGATGGGGGGCCGATGATGATGATGTCTGATTTGGCACTGTTCAGTTGGAGATAGTTTGTTTGCATCCATGCTTTTATTTCTGAGAGACAGTTGGTGAGAGTGGAGTGTGTTGTGGGGGTGATGGTTTTTGTAGAGATATAAAGTTGGATGTCATCGGCGTAGCAGTGAAATTGAAGGTTGTGGCGACGAATTATTTTGCCAAGGGGGAGCATGTAGAGGATGACGAGGAGGGGGCCAAGCACCGAACCCTGGGGGACACCTTGGGACAGAGGAGCAGTGGAGGAGGTGCAGTTGTTGATGTTGATAAACTGATGTCTGTCGGTGAGGTAGGATTTCAGCCAGGAGAGTGCAGTGTCGGTGATGTTGAGTGATGATTCGAGGAGGGACAGCAGGATGGCGTGGTTGATGGTGTTGAATGCTGCGGTGAGGTCGAGGAGGATGAGGATGTTAAGGTTGCCGGAGTCAGAGGAGAGGAGGAGGTCGTTTGTGATTTTCAGAAGAGCTGTTTCGGTGCTGTGTTTTGATCGGAAACCGGATTGAAATGGCTCAAAGAGATCATTGGAGCTGAGGTGGGCTTTAAGTTGTGAGGCAACGACACGTTCAAGTATTTTTTGACAGAAAGGGGAGATTTGAGATGGGCTGGAAGTTGGACATGATGTCAAGTGTGAGTCCAGGTCTTTTGAGAATGGGTGTGACAGCAGCCAGTTTGAGAGAGAGGGGGGGGACTGATCCAGATCTGAGGGAGGAGTTCATGATGGTGGCGATGAGTTGGGAGATGGCAGGGAGGCTCTCTTTAACACATTTGGAGGGCATTGGGTCAAGTGTGCAGGTGGAGTTAATTCCAGTCATGAAGTCGGACAGTTGCATGGGGGTCACAGGGGAGAAGTGGGACAGGGGCTGTGAGGTGAAGGGGGGGAGCCAGGAGGGGAGGTGGGGGGTGCTGATGAGGGTGTCAGATTGCTGTAAATGTTGCTGATGTTGGTTTGTAAAAACGAGAGGAAGGAGTTGCACTGTTCGGTGGTGAAGGATGAGGTGGCGTTGTCACAGGGTTTGAGAAGTTTGCTGATGGTGGAGAAGAGACGCTTGGGGTTGCTGGAGCCAGACTGAATGAGTTGTGAGTAGTAATTAGACCGGGCTGCTTTGAGTGTGTTACTGTACTGCTGGAGATAGTCTTTGTAGATTTGAAGATGGACTGTTAGTGTGGTTTTCTTGTGTTGGCGTTCAAGTTGACGTTTCCTTGATTTCATTTGGCGGAGTTCGGGGGTATACCAGGGGGCGGAGTGTATGAAAGAGACATGTTTTGTTTTTGTGGGGGCCAGTTCATTGAGACAGAAGGAGAGGGTGCTGTTATAATAGTCCACAAGTTCAGCTGGGTTTTCAGAAAGTGGGGGGGGGGAGACAGACATCTTGCAGGTAATGGAGGCAGTGATTGCTGAAGGTGAGATGGATTTGAGATTTCTGTAGGTTACTGTGCGTTTTTGCTTTGCTGCGGGGATGGGGATGTTGATGTCCATGATGATGGCCAGGTGATCAGAGATGTGGAGATTGAGGCTGGACAGATGATGGATGGTGAGACCAGTGGAGCAGACCAAGTCCAGGATGTGACCACGGCTGTGTGTTGGGAAGTTGATGTGTTGAGAGAAGTTGCAGCAGTGAAGGGTTTCCTTAAATTCAGAGGCATATTTGCAGGTCGGGTCGTCAACATGAATGTTAAAATCACCCAAGAGGAGAACAGATGGGGATATGGCAGAAAGCTGAGTGAGAATGTCAGAGAGGTCGGAGAGAAAGGTTTGGCTTCGGGGGTAGATGATGGCTGTGACCAGGGGAGTGGGACCAGAGAGTTTAAAGATCAGGTGTTCAAATGAAGAAACATCAGGGATGGGGATTATGGTAGCTTTTATGTCCTTTCTGATAATAGCAGCTATACCACCACCCCGCCCTTGTGGGCGAGGTTTGTCAATGTATGTGAATCCTGCTGGGGTGATTTGATTTAAAGAAGAATAGTCATGGGGTTTTTGCCATGTTTCGGTCAGATACAGAAAGTCCAGGTTATTGTCTTTAATGAATTCATTCAGAATGTGGCTTTTATTGTGGATGGAGCGTGTGTTGAGCAGGGCTGCTCTGAGGTGACGTTGCATTGGGGGGGTTGTGTGGACCGGGGGAGTGGAAGGAGATTGGTGAGATTCACGTGTTGTTTGTTGTAATGGCTAGTGTGGGCGTGTGACAGGACCGAATGGACGGGATGGAGTGTGGAGACGTGGAATGAAATAAAAACTTACGGCCAGAGCCTCTGTGTGGAGGACGGTGTTTGCGGAGTATTTCATTATCTGCAAGGATGTCCAAGCAGTCCGGACGCAGGAGGTTATTAAAGGAGTGGAGATCTGACAGGGAGTAGAGCGGCGGAATGATCCGGTGAAGTGGCGCTAGCACGGAGCTAGCTAATGCTGGGGACCCGGGCAGCAGAGACCAGGAGCCGGATGACCGTGGAAGAAGGAGCGGTGTGAGTCCAGATAAAATGAGAATTATAATCCACAGCATATCAGGAGAATAATTCCAGTGGTTTCCAGAGGAGAATCGTAGGAGGGGCTGACAGCCTGGTGCAGAGTGGGAGCCGGGTGACCAGCCTACTAGCTGGTTAGCTAGCTTGATAGCCACCGGCTGTAGGCGGCAGGGAGAGACGATGTCAGCGGGGAAGCCGGCCGATCGCAGCGGGATGGGAAGACCCACACGAGCCGCGGAGTTAGGGTGGAGTTAGGGTGGAGTTGGGGTGGAGACAGAAATGTTAGCTCAGCAGACTTCAGGGAGCCGAGGAGCATCTAGGTAGCAGCCTGCTAGGTCCGATAATGCTAGCTAGCTAGCGGGCTAGGGACCGGTGAGCAGGAAAGAACCAGCAGGTAGGAGATGATAACACAAAGATCTGTGTCGATTCGATATAGAGATGCTGCTATTTTTGCTGATGACTGACGTTTCAAAAGTAGAGAGCCAGACAGGAGAGGTTCTGATCTGGACTAAAGAACAATATTTGGGGCGGAGGAGCGGCGAACAAACAACACCAGCACCCTCGGCGACCCGGGAAAAAAAATAAAATAAAAAAAAGTACAGTTCAAATACAGATTATTTGAGTTCATCGAAGTGCTGCACCTTAATGTTTATTTTATTATATTTTGTATTTATTTGAGTGAATATTCACAGTTTAATAATAATTAAAAACCCCCAAAAAATATTTTATGTTTTGTGATAATTTTTTCTGCTGTACCGAAAACGTACCGAACCGTGACCTAAAAACCGAGGTACGTACCGAACCGAAATGTTTGTGAACCGTTACACCCCTAGTGTGTGTGTGCGTGTTTGTGTGTGTGTCTCTTACCGTTCTCACCTCCGTGGGGGGGGGTACATGGACGGGGCCGACGCCTGCTGACTGGCGACGATGGCTGAAGACGAGAGACCTGGAAAACATTCACAACGTTTAAAATACGCTGATAAAACCAATTCATAATAGTAAAAAAATAAATCTTGGCTGATTTGTGTGGACTGGTTTTGGGTTTGAGTCCATTTCTGACATTTCAGGGTCAATAATGGTAGTTTTAACCAGAAAGCAGCCGTATCCGTCGGACTGACTTTGATGAGTTTTGGGTCGATTTTGAAGATTAGTCGTCTCATTTAGAGACTTGTTAGCAACCCATGTTCTAAATCCACCAGTGGGGTACGAACAAAACCATAACATGTCTCCAGCTGGTGTTAACCACAGAATCTGATCCTCACGTGAGTCGTAGGATAGTTCTGTACGCAAAATTATATTTATATATAATATCAATGTGAAACCTTAATCACTTTTTCAGGCTGTTTTTTAAAGTTTTTATAGCTTCTCTTCACTTTTCTTGCATATCTCGTGTCAGGTTTCTCACAGGAGGAATGCTCCTTGGTGTATTTGGTGGATACGTAAATAACTTTAAAATATAGCAATATTTACACGGAATGTAGATATACTCGTATGTGCAGTCACAATGTGATGTTTTCATGACTTTTACTATCTTAAAAATAATTTAAACGACTTGAATTCACTTTTCTTGCAAATTCGTAATTTTTATGACTTTAACAAATATTTATCCTTGTTATAACTTTTATCAAATATAGTCTCCTCTTTATGACTTTTATAACCAATATTTATCCTTTTCTATCTCTTTTTTCCACGTTTCTTGTAACTCCTGGTCCTTTTCAACCTGTGTGTCTCACCTGAGGCGTAGGACAGGTCGTCCTGCCCCCCCAGCAGGGGGTACCCCAGGTGATGGATCTATAATGTTTATCAGTGTGTCTCACCTGAGGCGTAGGACAGGTCGTCCTGCCCCCCAGCAGGGGGTACCCCAGGTGATGGATCTATAATGTTTATCAGTGTGTCTCACCTGAGGCGTAGGACAGGTCGTCCTGCCCCCCCAGCAGGGGGTACCCCAGGTGATGGATCTATAATGTTTATCAGTGTGTCTCACCTGAGGCGTAGGACAGGTCGTCCTGCCCTCCCAGCAGGGGGTACCCCAGGTGATGGATCTATAATGTTTATCAGTGTGTCTCACCTGAGGCGTAGGACAGGTCGTACTGCCCCCCCAGCAGAGGGTACCCCAGGTGATGGTGGGAGGGCAGCATGCGTTGGGAGGGGGAGTTTCGGGGTCCCTCCCTCTCTTGGGGCTTGTTGTCCTGCACTGAGGGGGATTTGCTCTTGTACTGGCTGGCGTGTTGCTGCAGCAGCTCCAGAGCTTTGTTCTCTGCGGGGGGGGGCTTCACGGTGGGGCTGGACCTGGAGGCTTTCTCCCCCTCCTCCCCCCCCGCAGCCTTCCCCCCGTAAGAAGGGAACGAGTAGCCGGCCGGCAGGTAGCCTGAGGAGAGAGAGAGCAGCTCAATCACCTCAACTTATACTCAATATTGGCCTTTCCACACTTTTTAATCGCTTTAAACAAATTACCAAATATTTGGCATTTGATATAATTGTTTCTGCAAAGTCATTTCTATCAGGTTTCAGGAAATATTTTATAAAAATACGTTTTTACCAGTTTTTCAGAAAATATTTCACTTTTTTTCCCTAAAATACGTGGCATTAACCCTTCGAGTCCCACTCACCGGGGTAGTTCTGCATCATGACGGAGGGCAGGCCTCTGAACCCCGGGTGCCCCGCCCCCTCGTACCCGTGGCTGTAGGCGTACGGCCCCGGCATGTAGGGCAGGTAACCCTGGTGATGCTGGGGCATAGGGGAGGAGAACTGCATTTGGGGAGGGGGCGGGGGGCGCGCCTCCTTAACCCCCCCTCTGTGATCACCCTCCTTCACCTCCTCCTTCACCTCCTCCTTCTCCTTCTGGTGCTCTTTAGGTCTCGATCGCTCCTCCTTTCCTTTCCTTTCCCTCTCTCTTTCTCTCTCTCTCTCTCTTTCCTCCTCCTGAGGCTTCGGGGCTTCTGGGTATTTGTTGGGATAAACATAGGGCCAGAGGCGAGAGTCCGGCTCCTGAGGGAGAGGAGGAGGAGGAGAGAGACGTTAGTAAAGACAATAGACTGTTTACATTGTGAAACTGCATCAGTTCCTAAATATTCTGACTTTTTCTTCAAATATGTCGCTTTTTTTATAAAAAATGGTGGCATTTCTTTTTACATTCATCCAACTCCTGCCCCGCCCAGTGTTAACCCCAGCTGTAGTTACCTGTCTGTACCACATGGCGGGCTCCACTCCTCCCTGTTTCCCCCCCTCTTCTTTCCCATGATGCCCTGCTTCACTCAGCTTCATCTTCAGGCCTTCTGGTTGGACGGCAGCGGCTGGAGGAGGCGGGACCTTCTGCTCCTCGCCTTTCGACATGATCACAGATTTGCCCTCTGCAGTTGCCTGCGGGGTTTCTTTAGGCTCCCTTGGCTCTCTTGGCTCCCTTGGCTCTCTTGGCTCTTTTGGCTTGGGGCCTCCCTTGCTGCCCCCCAGGTCTGAGAGGCTGGGGGCTCTGGAGAGCGTGGGGGGGGGCAGCGAGGCCTTCTTGTTGTCGTGCTGCTGTCGGTACGCGGGGTTGGAGGCCAGCAGGTGGGCGTGGTAGTTCTGGTCGGGGGGGTAGGAGTAGGGGGGCACGTAGTACTGGTTGTAGTAAAGCTGCTGCGCGTACATGTTGGAGCGCGGCTGGATCACAGACGGCTGCTGAGGGTCCAGCTTCCTGTCCTCCAGAGGCTCCACCTTCAAAACAACGGTTCAGAGGCGTCAGTGTCACTGGCACAGATAAGACATCAAGACGCTTTACCAGCAAGATACACAGAAACACATTTCAGAAAGTAAAATGAAACGCTACAGTGAATTATTATTAATAACCAGCTCCTCCCTCACCTCCGACTCCTCCTCCTTCTTCACCTGGACGCCCTCCATGAGGGGGGGTGCGGCGGGGCTGGCGTTGGGGTACGTGGGGGAGTAATACGAGTCGTAGTTTGGGTAGTATTCCTTCCCGGGCGGCTGGGGGGGGAACAGGGTCTTCTTAGCACCTTCTCGAGGCGCCTGGTCGGGCTCCGTCTTCACCTTTTAATAATAATGAAGATAAACAACGTTATTTATACAGAAGCTTTCGTGCAACACAAGGTACACACAAACAATAACAATGAGGGAAAACAAAGAGTAGGGAACATAATTAAAAACAAAACAATGAGGAAGGATCATCAAACATTAAAACATGAACAGTGACCCCAAATTAAAAAGATAATAGTCTGTTTGCAGCTCATAGGGTCTTATTGTGACCCCGGACATGTTGAGGACCCCAACGTTTTATGACTATAATGTAGGGAGACCCACCTTCACCTCCCCCGTCCTCGCCTCCCCGTCCTCCCCGGCGTCAGAGATGTCCGAGTAGGCGGGGCTTCCTGTTTCGGCCCCGTTCAGGTTCCCCCCCTCCCCCCGGCCGAGCGAGGGGCTGGGCGCCGTGTCGGAGAAACTGTAAACCTTGTCCGCCTCCGCTTTGATGCTCGCCAAACGATTCTGATGCTCCGATCCGTTCAGAAGGGAGTCCGGAGAGTCCTCCTCTCTATTCCCTCCTCCCTTCCCTTTAGGACTGTCTCCTTCCCTGCCTCCTTCCCTGCCTCCCTCCCTCTTCTTCTTCTTCTTCTTGTCCTTGGTGGGGGTGGGGCCGGGGCTTGAGGCGGAGCTCTTGGGGATTGGCTGCTGCACCACGGAGGAGGCGGGGGAAGTGTTCTGTAAGGCGTAAGAAGGGGAAGGGGAGGCGGCGGAAGGACGTCCGGGTTTTACGCCTTTCTGAGTCACTTTATCAGGTTTTCCGCCCCCCGTCGTCTTCCTGGACTTCCTGTCGTCCAACCCGTCGTTGCTTGCCTCGTCCGTAAGACACGCCCCTTCCTCCTCCAACTCCGCCTCCATCTCCGCCTCCTTCTTCCTCACCTTCATCCTTCCCGGCGAGGGCGAAGGCGCGTCGAACCCCCGTCCTTTAGGAGTCGTTGAGCGAGCGGGAGAAATGGCGGCGGCTCCGTTACAAGAACCAGGAGCGTCAGAATGGGTTAAAACATCGTCCCCGTACTCGCTGTCCACGTCCTGAACCTCGTGGTCGTTGTGCGCCCGCGCCTGGTGGTACTTCAGCCCGTTCATGTGCTTGTACTTCTTGTTGCAGTTGGGGTGAGGGCAGTCGATGAGGACGGGGGAGGGGCAATCCAACATTGGAGGAGGAAGGGAATCCGGTTTCCCTCCAGGAAGTGGGAGAGCGTTACCGGTGGAGTCTGTCCTCATTCGTTTAGAGGCCTTTGTGTCCTCGGAGCTGGAAGTTGGTTCCATGTCGGACGCGGGTTTGTTTTTCCTCTTGTTGGAAGATGGACTAGCTTCAGTTCCTCCCAACATGGCCGTCTGGCTGCCTCGCCGCCCTTTGCTGTTAGCCGCCGCCGCGCTGCCGCCACCGCGCGTCTTACTGCTGCCGCTCCCTTTATTGTCGGAGGAGTTGCTGTTGTCGTTGAGCGGCGTGTTGCTGCCGGGTCGAATCCGCTTCCCACGACCTCGACCGCCGCGCATCTCCACGTCACTGCTGGGAGACTCGCAGAACCTGGAAGTGAGTGAGAAGAGATTTACAAATATATAGATATCAAGAAACAATACATGAAAAACAAACATTTAACATAACGGCACAATCAGTGAGAGAAAACCTGCTCAAAGAGCCTTCAGCGTGCATCTGATCTGCCTTCTGCTGTTTTTATCTGAGACGTAATTGAGTGTGTACCTCGGGGGGGCCCAGTCATGTCTGGTGCAGTCCAGCAGGGTCCCGACGTACGTCTTGTTCCTCCAGGTGACGTTCACCACCAGCATGCCTAGAAAACATACAACCAGTTAGAATTAGGGCTGACCTTGAGAATTTCTAAAAATGAACGATGTTTCTAGCAGAGCAGTGCTCGTCTATTCGGGCGATGAGTCGACACATCGTCATATGTTTATGATTACATGATATTATACCCTTTGGCTTCAAAAACTTGTTTCTGTTTCAGGGCTGAGTTATGAGTAACACCCGGTACGTCGTGCTACATCAAATGTGATGCTACATTTCCAAGGAATAGTCGATAGCTCAAACGGGGAAGTCGTAGGCTAATGGAGAACGAACCACTTTTGAAGATTAATATGTGACAAACTACTCGAATAGAATATCACAACATTTGGTATACCCATTGTTCTTAAGATTGTGAAGACATTTCCAATCGGCTTTCATTAGACCCGCCCACCCAGAGGTCGGCCATTTTGGAAAAGGTTATTTTTGCAAACTTTTACAAACTCCTCCAGGAGGATAGATCGGATACATTTAAATTCTTGACAGATTAACCACATATCAAATGTGATGTTATTTTGCAAAGGAATAGTGGATAGCTCAAACGGGGAAGTTGTAGACTAACGGTTTTGTGATATATATACTGTATATTGTAAGGGGCTGAGAGGCAGGGTAGTGGGAGGCACCTACATTCCCAACAGGTGGCTCCACCCTCTTCCAATTAGCAGTATTGGGAGCAGGTGTGGAGACCTCACACCTGGTGCTAATCACTCCCTCAAGGGAGACAAAGCACACAGAGTTGCTCAGTTGTGTGTGGCACATGGAGGGAGCAGGAGGCTCCCAGTGTAAGGAAACGTTTTTTGTAAGCTGGTAAGTCGGTTAGCGGCCCGGCTACGTTAGCCTTTGTTTAAGGGAAGGTATTTTTGGAGTTTGATAGCAATAAAGCCTTTTTTGGTTTTGAACACTGCCTCTGTCATGATTGCTGCACTACCACTTTCCTCTTTATCTGCCCAGTCCTGTTACAATATATATATATATATATTAATGCTGTCAAAATTATCGCGTTAACGGCGGTAATTCATTTTTTGAATTAATTGCGTTAAAATATTTAACGCATTTAATGCATGCGCAGAATGGCCCGCCCCATACATCCCACCAGTGGCAGCGCCAGGGTATGGCTGGGGTAGGCTACACCCATACCAAGAAATGGCTTAGCCCCACCATGAAAAATGATGTTAAAGTAAGCGAAATAAAGTCTGCCAACTCGCGGAGTAAATTGCACAGACAGCAGTTAGTCAGATTGATTTCAGTAGCCACTTGTCTGGAAATACCGAAGACCATAAACAGTTTTGAAAACTTTTGTCCCGTAGTGATTGTCTTCTCAATAGAACATCTTTGATAATGTCTTCTGGCCAATCAGAATCAAGATAACGGCGTGGTGTTGTTGCAGGAAGTCCTGACGGAGAATACTTTTACTGTAGTACAGGGGTGCACATAACTGGTACGCAGGTTATGTGCGTAATCTGAAATGCGTACCGTCACTTGTGTCACAAAGCGCATTTGCGTACCGACGTACTTGTGAAGCTTTTCCAGAAGGCGGTTAGATCACCGGACGACAGAGTCGGTCTCCGTGTGCACAGACAGGGCTGCTGTTAACGTCGGTCTGGACAACGGAATTGTGCCAAAACTACGCCAACCGGCTGCGGAGGGAGACTCCCCCCCTTCACTGGAGTACTGCGCTAAAACAGCTGATCACAACCGTTCACACTCTGTGGTCACGAAGTACTCCACTAGCCCCCCCCCCCCCACCCCCCTCTGTCGACTTTCCTGAAGTACTCCCCCGTTGATAGAAATCAACACGTAATGAATTAAGACCCCACGGTTTGATGATTGATAGGTGTGTGGGTTGTCTTTCATTTTGACACGCAGAAAAATGTTACAATAAACATAGATACTGTATGTTAAATGGATATATCCGCCTTCTTTCATTTATCTTTCCATTCCCACAACAATATAAAGAAATGGCATATTTTGGACATAGTTCGAATGGTGATTAATCTGATTAATTATTTTTTAAGCTGTGATTAATCTGATTAAAAATTGTAATCGTTTGACAGCTCTAATATATATATATATATATATATATGTATAAATAAACTTTGATTTGATTAATATGATGTAAAGAAAGGTTGTCTCCTCCCACCGTCCTCCGTCTCCTGTTGTTTGTGATATTGGGCTGTATAAATAAACTTTGACTTGATGAATAAACCTCTCACCGTCCTCCGTCTCCTGCCACACGATGCCCTCCAGGTTGACGCTGGTGCCTGGCTCACAGGGTCCCAGGCACTCGGGCTCCGTGGCGAGCGCGGCGTCGGCTGTGTTCACGGCCACCGAGCGCGTCCGGACCATCAGCTGCTCGCAGGGGGACGAGATGTCGCTGCCAGACCCCGAGACGAGGGGGTGGAGCGGAGGAGGAGCCGGCGTGGAGACCGGAGACTCCATCTGGAAGAGGGAAGGAACGCAGAGGTTAAAACAACAACACATGAAACCACAACATGATGCAACAGGGAGACACTACAGCAACACTACTAGAAACATTTGAGAGAAGATGGGAACCAATAACACTGAGCTCTAAACACCTCCTTATTTTAGGTTTATATTAATTTTTTTCTTGGATTTATTTTATTTACATATTTTTTTAGGTTGGTATTATTTTCTATTATATTACATTTTTAACTAGCACCTGTTTCGGATTTGTAAGCATACCTGTCTGTACCGACTACCCAGGGAAAGGTCAGAGAATTTAAAGTTCAGGTCTCAGATATATCCAGAGCCGGTCTCTGATTGGCTGAAACACCAAACAGATCATTGCAGCATTACCCATAATCCCCTCTGTTTCAGCCCTGTTTCCAAAGTGCTGATTCTGTGTCTGTTACTTTAGATCAGGGATGGGCAACTTTGATGGTGGTGGGGGCCACACCATTGATGTACTGGCCACCAGGGGGCCGCAGATTCACTTGGAACACACACTAGAGATGTTAAGATTCCGATTCGCATCGGTGCACCGGCATAAACGTTCAAGATGCGAGTGCACCGGTTGAAAGAGTGCACATCGGCTACAGTTTGGGTTGAACCGGGTTGAACTCGCGATGCATCGATTGCGTAGCGTCTTTGCATCGGTAAAAAACCGATTCATTCATATAAAATCCCCTCATCTTGTCAACGCTCAGCAGAGACGATCTTTGATATTTGCTTCGCCACTACGGAGGCCGAGAGTCTCAGTTATCAACACACACGGAAGTTGAGGAGAAAGAGAAACACAGCGCACCGAAAAAATACCTACAAATCAAACGTTTGGCAACACTTGGGATTGTTCAAGAAAGACGGTGTAATAGTCCTTTATGCTATAGAGCTGACCGCAGGTCATGGAGAGTAATAAGGTATCCGTAGACCTTTGTATGAGGTATCTTTATTACTTAACAGGTCTACAGCCATGATACATAGATCCGTCCTAGATGCGGGCTTGCATACACACAGTATCACTCCGCAGCCGCACCCCATCAGTAACGTCCTGATGGTATATGTGCGCGGCACTATATACTACAGACGGTCAACTTGAAAAATCGCTCGCAAATTGTTAACGATGCCGAGCCGCTTTAAAGTACACAAGTAGTACGAGGAACTTAGCGACGCACATAAAGAGGCGACATGGGGTCTGCGGCTGAAAAGAGAAACCTGAAAGTTAGACGAGTGAAATCACTCAGTGAGGGGTTCTGTCAGAGAGAGAGGTGTTTAGTTTACAGCAGCCTGTGACGGCCAATCACAGTTAAATGTCTTCCTCACTGTGAGCAGTTATGAAATACCTGTTTGTGAAAGAGGTTATTTTCTTTATTGTTCATATAGAAACCACTGCTTTCTGCTCACTGGTGAGTCAGCCTATGAGTGTTAAGCACATCAGGCTGGCAGCTGTATGGGCGTTGCTCTATGGAAGCTGTTATTTGCACATTGTTAATCATGAGCAATGCATCCTTACATTGTTTTGAGGTGTTATACAATTGAGAGCTTTTAAAGGTAAACAAATAAACGGCATGATGGGATGTGCAGTACCAAATATGTAAAGCACTTTTTTGTTAATGTATGATTTGCTGCTGCGGAATAAAACAAAAATCCTCTGTCGTACCAAATTGAATTGTATCATTATTTTTACATCGTGTTGTATCGCACCGAATCGCATAATATTGAATCAGATCGTATCGAACTGTATCGCAGCAGGGGTGAATCGTATCGTATCGCATCGCCTGGTGTTTCAAATGTATCGTTAATGTATCGTATCGTGGCAACGTATCGAGATGCACATCCCTACTGCACACGCACATTCCATGTGTTGTATGTAATTATTAACAAATATACTAAGTCTGAAATCTTCATTGACATTGTACAATCAAAGGGAACGTCCTCCACTAAGCCACTGAAGAGATATCAGTTCAGACATTTTATTTCATTTTTACAAGTGGCATGTTTGTATTGAACAGGTTATTAAACAGTGGAATAAAACTATTTTGAACTATTGGAAAGCACGGAGAATGTGTGTGTATTGAGATGAACCATTAGATGACTTACACATGAAGTCATGAACTCTAACCCAGACATTAGTTCTCTAACTTAAACCTAAAACACTTGATGAAGAAGAGACATGAAGAAGAGGGGACACATGTTCATGAAGAAGAGACATGAAGAAGAGGGGACACATGTTGATGTAGAAGAGACATGAAGAAGAGGGGACACATGTTGATGTAGAAGAGACATGGAGAAGAGGGGACACATGTTGATGTAGAAGAGACATGGAGAAGAGGGGACCATGTTGATGTAGAAGAGACATGGAAGAAGAGGGGACACATGTTGATGTAGAAGAGACATGAAGAAGAGGGGACACATTTTGATGTAAGAAGAGACATGAGAAGAGGGGACACATGTTGATGTAGAAGAGACATGAAGAAGAGGGGACACATGTTGATGTAGAAGAGACATGAAGAAGAGGGGACACATGTTGATGATAGAAGAGACATGAAGAAGAGGGGGACACATGTTGATGAAGAAGAGACATGAAGAAGAGGGGACACATGTTGATGTAGAAGAGACATGAAGAAGAGGGGACACATTTGATGTAGAAGAGACATGAAGAAGAGGGGACACATGTTGATGTAGAAGAGACATGAAGAAGAGGGGACACATGTTGATGTAAGAAGAGACATGAGAAGAGGGGACACATGTTGATGAAGAAGAGACACTGAAGAAGAGGGGACACATGTTGATGTAGAAGAGACATGGAGAAGAGGGGGACACATGTTGATGAGAAGAGAAGAAGAGACCATGGAAGATAGAGGGGGACACATGTTGATGAGAAGAGACATGAAGAAGAGGGGACACATGTTGATGTAAGAAGAGACACTGGAGAAGAGGGGACACATGTTGATGAGAAGAGACATGAAGAAGAGGGGACACATGTTTGATGGAGAAGAGACATGGAGAAGAGGGGGACACATGGTTGATTGAGAAGAGACATGAAGAAGAGGGGACACATGTTGATGTAGAAGAGACATGGAGAGAGGGGACACATGTTGATGTAAGAAGAGACATGAAGAAGAGGGGACACATGTTGATGAAGAAGAGACACGAAGAAGATGGGACACATGTTGATGAAGAAGAGACATGAAGAAGAGGGGACACATGTTGATGTAAGAGAGACATTGGAGAAGAGGGACACATGTTGATGTAGAAGAGACATGAAGAAGAGGGGACACATGTTGATGAAGAAGAGACATGAAGAAGAGGGGACACATGTTGATGTAGAAGAGACATGGAAGAAGAGGGGACACATGTTGATGAGAAGAGACATGAAGAAGAGGGGGACACATGTTGATGTAGAAGAGACATGAAGAAGAGGGGACACATGTTGATGTAAGAAGAGACATGAAGAAGAGGGGGACACATGTTGATGTAGAAGAGACATGAAGAAGAGGGGACACATGTTGATGTAGAAAGACATGAAGAAGAGGGGACACATGTTGATGTAGAAGAGACATGAAGAAGAGGGGACACATGTTGATGTAGAAAGAGACATGAAGAAGAGGGGGGGACACATGTTGATGTAAGAAGAGACATGAAGAAGAGGGGGACACATGTTGATGTAGAAGAGACATGGAGAAGAGGGGACACATGTTTGATGTAGAAGAGACATGAAGAAGAGGGGACACATGTTGATGTAGAAGAGACATGAGAAGAGGGGACACATGGTGATGTAGAAGAGACATGAGAAGATGGGACACATGTTTGATGAAGAAGAGGACATGAAGAAGAGGGGACACATGTTGATGTAGAAGAGACATGGAGAGAGGGGACACATGTTGATGTAGAAGAGACATGAAGAAGAGGGGACACATGTTGATGTAGAAGAGACATGGAAGAAGAGGGGACACATGTTGATAGTAGAAGAGACATGAAGAAGAGGGGACACATGTTGATGTAGAAGAGACATGGAGAAGAGGGGACACATGTTGATGTAGAAGAGACATGAAGAAGAGGGGCCATTGTTGATGTAGAAGAGACATGAAGAACAGGGGACACATGTTGATGTAGAAGAGACATGAAGAAGAGGGGACACATGTTGATGTAGAAGAGACATTTGATGTAGAAGAGACTGAAGAGAGTGACACATGTTGATGAAGAAGAGGACATGAAGAGAGGGGGACACATGTTGATGTAGAAGAGACATGAAGAAGAGGGGACACATGTTGATGAAGAAGAGACATGAAGAAGAGGGGACACATGTTGATGTAGAAGAGACATGGGAAGAAGAGGGGACACATGTTGATGTAGAAGAGACATGAAGAAGAGGGGACACATGTTGATGTAGAAGAGACATGGAGAAGAGGGGACACATGTTGATGTAGAGAGGGGACACATGTTGATGAAGAAGAGACATGAAGAAGAGGGGACACATGTTGATGAAGAAGAGACATGAAGAAGAGGGGACACATGTGATGTAGAAGAGACATGGAGAAGAGGGGACACATGTTGATGTAGAAGAGACATGAAGAAGGGGGACACATGTTGATGTAGAAGGACATGAGAAAGAGGGGACACATGTTGATGTAGAGAGGACATGAAGAGAGGGGGACACATGTTTGATGTAGAAGAGACATGAAGAAGAGGGGGACACATGTTGATGTAGAAGAGACATGAAGAAGAGGGGACACATTGTGATGTAGAAGAGACATGAAGAAGAGGGGGACACATGTTTGATGATAGAAGAGAAGACATGAAGAAGAGGGGACACTGTTGATGCAGAAGAGACATGAAGAAGAGGGGACACATGTTGATGTGAAGAGACATGAAGAAGAGGGGGACACATGTTGATGTAGAAGAGACATGAGAAGAGGGGACACATGTTGATGTAGAAGAGACATGAAGAAGATGGGACACATGTTGATGTAAGAGACATG